GGCCAGAGCTGGAGGCCTTGAGTGCCGGCAACGAAGCCTCGGCCTGCGCAGTTGGCGGTGAGGTAGTATTCGTCGTATTTGAGGAGGCGGCGGTAGGTGATGAGTGAGTAGGTGAATGTGATGAGCGTTGCGGCGCTGGAGGGGAGGGGGAGGGGTTAGTTAGGATGCGTGTAAGGTGGCGTGGTTGAGGGGGGAAGGGGTAAGTACAGTAGACCGCAGTCGAGCGAGAGGCCGATGGTCGAGTAGTGCCCGTCGATGCGTTGTAGGTAGGCGACGATGTCGAGGGCGAGCACGGCGAAAGCTAGGGTGAGCTTGATGACGTGGGTGCAGACCATGGTGAAAGGCGTCAGCCGCTCGGTGGCCTTGCGAGCGATTTCGAGGATGTTGAGGAGCAGTGCGATGAGGTTGAAACCGACGTTGGTGGCTTCCCAGCTGTATGCACAAAGTAGGTAGTTATGTTAGCAGAAGTTCGCCCGGGAATCGCGGACAGGCAAGACGGCTGGCAACGTACACAACCTCGACGATGGGCATCTCGCCCAACTTGTCGTGTTCCTCATAATGCTCAAATGTCTCGGCCAGACGGTACGCAAAGATGCCCATCAGGCCCAGTAACACTGTGACCTGGAAGATCCATAGCGGGATCAAGATGGCCTTGCGCCATCCTGCGCGTGCGTAGAGCACCTGGTCGAGGTCGAGCGACGAGGCCATATTGTGCTCGGGTTGAAGTGGGGTGAAGTCGCTGGGCACTATTCGTATTTCATCCAGAACTCCAACAGTCCAACTCAACAACAACAACCAACCGTCCAGTCAACGCGCTCGCGTGGCGCAGGTCTGAACTTATCGCTGCGGCAGGGTAGAAGGGACGGCCCGGATCATCAAAGTGAGGAATCCCCCAAAATACAAGAATCCGGGGACTCGTCCGATTTTAAGCCCCATCGTCAGACGAAAAGAAAAGTGGCGCCCACAACAGGGCCCCGAAGAGCTGGCATGCAGAAATCCTTCAGCTCTTCAGGCGCCAACACCCAAAGGGCAGAAGCTGGCTGTCAACCCCATGCATATTGGTCAATATGTGGGGTCGTCGTGAGCTGAGCCCCGGCCAACTGCAGCTATTTCTGTTTGTTGGTCTCCACTCCGAAAGCTCCGAGGTCTCACAGTGCGGTGGTGAAAGTGCGAGTTGAAGATTGAGGGTTAGGGTTATATATACACTTACAAACACAAATGTAAGCTTACACAGTGGTTTGTGCAAGGGATGGTGAGTAAGGACATGGGACGATGCCTTCTACCATCCAATGGTCAGGGACGGAGGGAGCACGAGCAGGGGGGATACCGAGCTTCCCCGGATCTGGTGGTGGCCAGAAAACAACACGACACATTGTCGTGGATAGAACATATATTGATAAACCAGCGCTCCCAACGCTCCCTGTATCCTATTCCCGAACACTATCCAACCAGAAATGACCGAGTCCGGCCTTCCAGCCAAGACTGGCCGCAGTCTAAACTCCTCCCAAATATTGCCATTGATTATCGCAGCCACAGACTGATGAATGTGGTCATCGTATGATTCCGAGCGCCGCGTCCATGAGCCGGCATTGCTGAGCAACGGCTGAAATCGGCGTGGGCTGTGCCTCATCTTGTAGGGTGGCGATGGCCGATCAGATACCCTTGGCGGCCGCGTCTTGGTAGACCTTCGTGGAATCAAATGCGATGACATTCCCAGTCTGGTCCGACATGGCCGGCTGCGAGACGTCGACCGTCACGGCGTTCTGGCGCTTGACGGGCGCTGAGGAAAAGGTTAGTCAGAGTTCACCTCAATTTCGTGCCGTCGGAAACAAACCATCACGGTCTACCGCCGGGTAGGCAAGGGCCATGGTGGCGAAAGCAAGAACGGTGGCGATGGTGAACTTCATGTTGACTAATTAATATGCGTACGGGGTAGCTTCGGAGTGATGAAGATGTGCGAGGAAAGAAACGAATGTGTCGGCCGGCGACGAGCAAAGACTGTGGGCTGAATGTGGAAAGAGAGGAGTTGGAAAGAAAGGCGTTGATGCATGGAAGAGTACGGGATGAGCCAAGTAAGAAGGCATTAAGTACTTGACTGCTCAAGCGCCACCTCGACGATCAGGATCCGCAATGCCTGATAGACAAGAGACGTTTCAGGAACGCATACCAAAAGAGATGATCACTTCCCAGCTTCGATAGCCCTGTCAAGGTTGGCCAGGAACGTCTTCCAAGATCCTGGGGTTTCAATCTACCCCGGTGTTTCGATGAGGCAAAGAAGCAGGAAGTGAACTTTCACTCAAACCGACGTCCATCTGAGACAGCAGGGCGCAGTATCTGGGCTTCCAGCATACGCAACGTCAGCCGCTTACCCACGATGTAGCGCTGAATGTTACGGGGCCGCCGTTAAGCTTGAATGCCCCTGGCAGGCAAAACGAGCTTAAATTTTTGGGACGAAAGGTCTAGAGAGGTCTATGGGCGGGACCAAGGCGAGCGAAGCTTTTGGGGCAGGGGGATGAAACCGGGAGAGTGGCTTGGTCGAGAGGTTGCATTGGAAAGAGCCGCGCTTCGGTGAGCAAGTGCATTCGGAAGGCGCAAACCCGTCCTTGGTGTTTGAGAAGTCGAGAGCGGATCTCCACTTCCGTGTCGCAGGATCCTTGAAGTCCAGAACGGCCTATCTCTTCCCGCGAAACATGACGCGCCAGTGGCAACCATTCGGTCCATGAGTGTTTGTAGTTGGGAGAGCGACGATATGGGAGGAGAAAAGGTGAAACAAATGGGCGGCGATGATGCTTGTGGCTTGACAGCTGGCAGCAGCTGGCAGAAGCCGGCAATACCACCGGACCAGACTCCGATCATCGAGTTCTGGAACTTTGGACGAGCTGAGCATCACATGCCATCATGATGGCCTGATTTCCCCAAGTAAACAAACTTTGCCTCAAAACAGCTCTCGCAAGTCTGGACATTTAGGGATATCGAAATGCCGTCTCGATGCTTGGTATTTTCGGCTGCTTTAAAGGGAAGTACTCTATAGCCGAACTGTAAAGAAAAGCGGGATATCTAAGGTAATCAAGCACTTAATATTCATTTGTAGCTGCTCCATCTATTCCCTTCAATGACGATTACAAGCGTAGGCGAAGAACTTTCATCAACCTGATCTTCTCTTCTCACAACTCGCCCAACTAACAAGAACAAGAATACCGTCGGGGTGCCGTCAGGTGGGGCGATTCCCAAGATCTTGACATCGCCTTGCCAGCAAAGCCCGCTCTGCCCCGCACCACCTTGATGGCTCTGCCAGCCCCACCCCCATATGCTTCTTTGGGGCTGCCCCTCCTGCCCCTCCTTCATCCCTTCCCTCTGAGCTACACATCCAGACTTCATCCCCCCGAGTCTCCCGGCATATACGGGGTTGGCTTGCGTCGTCGTCGCTTCAAAATTCACGATATTGGTCTTTTCGACCTTGCGAGATTCACTTTGATCCCCCCGCCGCAATAAGCGACACGACCAAGCCCACCCACGTCACCATGGCCTCCACCGTGCACTGCCTGTTCTGCTTCGAGGCTCTGGCTGCCAATCTCGAGAAACGCGAGCTCATGTCTCTAGTCGAGGTGCAAAAGTCGTGGACCGAGTACAACCGCTCCGTCGCAGCCGATGC